CTTAGTTCAAATGCCGAAGAAATAAGCTCATTACAGTTTTACCGCTTCAGAGGGGTCGGTAGTGAACCACACCTAACCCGAATGGGACAAATTAGATTTTTATGCATCGTTCATTTTGTACAAAGTGAAATTTTGTGGTTATTGCATAAATTTGGTGTTAATTTGATAGACAGAATCAGTAAGTTGAATTAAGCCAGTTATCAGATTACTTGGTCCAGTTCTATAACTTTGCTCTGTGGGTTTTTCTAAAGCCATTGCCAAAGCCCATTTGCGGCCAGTCTTATCTGGATGTGATAGAAAAAAGATCTTAGACTGGATTATATGATTACACGGCTGTTTAGTTGGACATTGAGGACTTTTTTTGTCTCATATCCAAGCATATTAAGTGTTCCCTGTCCACTTGCAAATACTCAACTGGTTCTACTCGATGAGGACCGATGAGGGCAACACAAGTATCACACCTGGAAGGGAGTCATTATTCTCGTGTCCAAGAGAATGACGTAAAGCTCTCAATTGGCTCGCGCCTTGCATGTCCGAAGCAAAATCCCGCTTTATTGTATATTTAGCCATAGAAGGGTTGCAATATGACAAAGTATAGATACGAAATGATTTTATTTCAGCTGCAGTAAATGACTTTGCAGTGATGGTAAATAATCATTTGTGTGTAACAGTCAGTAAATTTGTTGTTGTTTTGTGGTAAGAAATACAGCAATAATAACGAAACCACGACAAAACACTATTGGAAACAGCCATGTTGGAACCATTTTTTTTTCTTTCAAACCCATTTCCAGGCTTGGCTTTCATTCACTGATTACTATAGACATCCGAGGAAGTGATTCCAAGCCAGAGATTTTCACCGCAATTCTAAGTAAACCGTAAAACATCAAGGAATAAATGTTGGTATTTTGGGTGATAGAAAAATCTCTATTCCTTGTCATGTGCAAACAGTGAACTTTATGGCGTTCGGTATTACCTCTGACTGGTCGATACTTCCAAAAACTATTCAAATTTACTCCAATTCTTCCAAACCTTTGTGCATTTGTAGAACTTCTCTGATACAAAGTTGCGGAGAATGACATGGGGACTTATTGAGTTGCTTTGTTCACAACATCAAAGGTTCATTACGATTCGCAGTGTATTTGTCATGCAAAACACTTTCAGTTCAGAAATTCTACCAAAGCTAAATCAATGTCAAGTGGTCTTTTGTTGAAATATTGATGTAACTTACTCTCCCAGGTCAGTGGCTTGAATAATTCACTGTTCGTGTCACTGATAAGACACACTGATAAGCAACAGGCATGGCACAGGTTCACGATATATCCCAACACCATTTAATTGTATCACAAACTAAATGATCATTACTCATCTTATCGACATCCATCCTGATGTTCAACAGAACACCATTTTTAAAACCTTACAACGCACTTCTGAAAATCTGTAGCGGGCTGAAGGACACTCCAGCAAGGACAACTGAAGGAATTTACGTGTTGAAGAGATCAGTATACTGAAAGGTATATTTTAGATATATTTTCAAATGTGATATAACGCCTTGGGCGGTCACTCTGTTTAGATTGAAACGCCTTTATTTCTTTATTACTAATTAATTTAATCTTCTCTTTGAACCTTTTCATTCATGATTTATGAGAGCAGCACATCTCGCTAACTTAAGACCTTTATTACTTTGTTTTTCTCGAAGTAGAATATAGCTTCCAGTCCCTTCGTTCATAGAATTCGTTAACTGAACGTTGTTAAGTCAGTTTTCGAGGTTTGTGTAAATGTCGAAAATCTTTGAAATTTTAGTTTTTTTTACACGAAGAATTGATCTCTCACTCATTGTTCCACTCTCGCTGATAACATTTGCTAAAAAACAACCATGCTGTGTGTTGTATTTCATTCATTGATTTGTTATTTAAAACAACTTTATACGTCTTGCGTACATCTTTACTAGAAGTGTTCACATTTACTTGATGGGGTTATAGAAAGGAGGAACAAAATTAAATACATCGATGTTGTTAGCTAAGATAATATTTCCAGTAACTGCATATTGAAATACACTTTTATCATAACGTATTTTATTCTGAGAAGAGATATTGATAGCCAGTCAGTAATGCCATTACAGCATCTTGATTAACCTGTAAGGCTTCATTCTGTTGAAAGATTCAAGTGCATCCAGTAACCGTGCCCGATACTTACGAACAAAGCGTGTTATCTGTATTAGCATCGAATTAGTTTTGATCATCAGGCGATGGTTGATTTGAACATTGCAGGAGCAGTATATTTCTTTTCCTGATAGTGTAAACACTAATTACTATTTCACAGACACCAGATATCATGTCAAATTCAAGCGAAAAACTGAACCAACTTTCTTACACTGACCTGCACTGCTATCTCTTCGCCAAGGCTCCTGTTCGACCAATAAAAATCGACGAACTGAAGCAAAAGGTTATTGAGTATCGCAACATTAAAGGTACTGGTGTTTTATACTGCCGTTATCTATTGCTTTGTGTTTAAATAATAATGTTTATCCATTTTTCAAGGGAGAAACACAATTCAGAAATATCCCAACATGCTGCTTGACTTAATCAAAAAGAATTTACCGGATGGCATCACCGAGGATAATACGAGATTATCCCGAGCACTGGAATCATTTCCGAGAGAAGTTCAGTTGTGTACTTCTAGTGTCCCTTGTGTGGTGTACGGAGTGTGCGCAAGACAGTATATTCCTATTGGTACTTGGATTGGCCCATATGAAGGACGACAATGTCATCTCAATTCAGTTGATTTGACTGCTGAGGAGAACATTTACATGTGGGAGGTACGAAAAATTACTAATTTATGATCGCAAAAGTGATTAAGCTTAACAGTTGGTGAATATAATCTGGTGTACTAGCTATTTCGTCAAGTGTATGTCCCTTTTATTTCAGATTTATCAAGACGGCCGATTGGCGTACTATCTGGATGGTAGCAACGAGGAGACATCAAGCTGGATGCGATTTATTGCTTGTGCCCGTAACAATAGCGAACAAAACCTTTATGCTTTTCAATACTGTGGAAACATATACTACAGGGCATTTAAAGAAATACCACCGGGTACAGAACTCCTGGTATGGTACGACGATATATACCCACAAAACCTTGGGATCCCACTAAAGATTAATGACCTGGGCTACATGGAGACTGATGGTAAGTGAAACTGCTGAACTCAATGACATTTTTTATGTTTGTCGTGGTAAACTTCGGAACGAAGGAGATCCGCGGACGCACGAATAAAGAATATCATTTTTTCTTTCTTTGTTTTAGATATCAACGCTGCCATTCCCGCACGTTCTTCAGACTTAGCTCCAATTAACTTGCCTGAAGATAGTCAATTTGCTCTCAATGGAGATGGCTGGCTGGAAACTACAAAGAGCCTCTTATCTCGCTCCACAATTGTCCAATCAGTACTGCCTGCATTGTCACGTGAGAAATCTCGAGAGAAATGTTTTCTTCCGGAGTCCTTGAGAGAGTTCCCTGATGCCAAACAGAGACATGCAAAGTCGTTTTTAGATCGGTACAAAGATCGTCAAAATGATGAGCGAAGTAAAGAGGCCTTTGACATATGTCGAGACGATGAATCAGGGATGAGTTCGTTTCGATGTGGACAATGTGAAAAAACCTTTCCACAAAGATCTATCCTGCAGTTACATATCTGCACCCGAACGCCGAACAAACCTTTTGAATGTAGTTTCTGTGGAAACGCATTTGCAAATCCGAACGATCTTCGTGCACACTCATCGATACATTCCAACGAGAAGCCTTTTAAGTGTGGCTACTGCTCACGTGCATTTTCTGGAGCAACGACGTTAAATAACCATATAAGGACACATACAGGAGAGAAACCTTTTAACTGTCAAAAATGCGGTAAAACCTTTTCACAAGGTGCGCAGTTAAGTCGACATCAACGTATTGAGTGTATAAACAAAACGGTTTCGACTTGGAATTAATTACCCTCGCGGTGTACTGCACGTGACCAAAATACGTCATAATGTATGACCGAAAGGTACTGTGTGTAATAGTGTTAATCATGATGTTCTCGATCAGACAAAGAAACTCGATCACCTCGTAATCGTAGGTTTAATACAGATAGATATTATCCTAAGGTCAATTAATACGACGGATTTTTACTCTGACAAGCTACTAATTCAATTAAAAAAGTTCTTCACTTTTTCCCTAGAATAACGTGATATAAAACTTCGATATCACTTTAAATCTTCATTAATGACAGTCAGCCTCAGTTGATATTGTTAAAGCGCTATTATTCGAATCAGACAAGCTTAATTTGTTTTATCAACGTAACTTATATTTGTATATCTTGAATGCCGCAACCTGCATGCACTTGATTACCATAACTAGCTGTCCAGTTCTCCTCAGAAAGAGTTCGTTGTAATTTTTCATCGATTCTTTTACGCTGCAGTTTTTAAAAGAGATGTTATAAGCGCAATCAAATCATAAAAACAGTGCTTTTGCTAGGTATATTTAGCACTATGTGGCGCGTAAGTAAAGTGGCTTCACTCCCACTTCACTGCTTGTAATTGCAAAGTCATTTTTGGAACATTTGTTAAACATTTCTTTTATTTCATGTCACTTGTTCTTGTGTTTTCTTTGTTTTTTTTGTGTGTGTTTTTGTTTTGTTTTTGTTTTTTTTTTTTTTTTTTTTTTTTTTAATCGATCGGCTATGCCGTCGTATAGAGTACAAAATGTGTATTTTGTATGTAACACGTATATCTTTTTAAAATTAAAAATTAAACCTTATTAAATTAAATCTCTTTCATGATACAGTTGCTCCGCGTCTTTTTTCTTTTGTGTAACTTTTTTTACCATCAATATATGGCTCAGTTTTATTCCTCTTTAGCATCAATTCACAACGATGATGTCATGAAATACTCGGATCGTTTCTTTGGTCCAAAAAATACTTTATTTTTATCCTTGACTGACTTCTTTTTCCTTTATTACTTTAGTATTTTTTTAATGTCTTTTCTCTCTTTTTTTGCTTGCTTCCAGTAGTTGTTTGTCAATTCATTTCATCGGAGTTTTGAGGCAGTTTGAAGTGTATTTGTTATTAACAGACAATGAATGTTTTCCAGTGGGTTTTTGGAACAACAGGGGTTCTGCTGTGCATACACTGATCACTACTAACAATAGTAAATCAATCCATTTATGATATTTATAGACCTTGTCGCAAATATCGTAATTTAGATGTATAAATTTTTCTTTAAAAGGAAAGGTTTGTCATGTTCATTTATTGAGTCCACTCATTTGTTGTCAAAGGATGTTCCACTCTGATTCACGTAGTATATCAATGTTTGAATATTGATAAGAATTTAAACTCATTCAGGAGACGGCATGCTTCAATGGCTGCTTCAGTAACTCGTTTTTTGGTCTTAAACCCCTGTTAAAAGCTACCAAAAGCTTTATTAATGGACTTAAAGCGATTCAATTATTATGGTGCCTTCCGCTAGGCTGATGAAATCGCTCATTTTCAACATTTTTAACAGTCACGTGATATGCAACGGAGCAAATCGTAACAAATTATGCACGTTTCAATATATCCTACCTATGTGCGTGCATACAGTGATTGACACCTATCAATCAAAAGAAAAAAAGCGAAAACAAATTGATAGCAAAACTGTATGGTTCAGTGAAAACTGTGCTTTCTGTAAAAGCAGTTTTATTCAGAAGCTCCAACCAAGTGGCATCTATAACTGATCGGTCTATACTGGAATCCTATCCGATAAGAGGTAAGATATTATTGCTGTTAAATACGATACTAATTCGACATAAGAAATTGTATCATATGCTGATCCATATAACACAAATGTCCGTCGTTACTTCGGTATATAAACCGGTATTTCAACAATTATAATCAGGATTCTTTTGGCAACCTCTAACAACTCAGTTTGCCAAGTCTGCTTTTTGTACTTGCCAGTTCTTAATAAAACGACTCACTTTAGATATTCTAGAATATTCTCTTCTTTTCCATGAAACAATAGTATAGTATAAAATAAAGGATTTCAATTAATAACTTCTCAATATTAAAGCGAAATGATTAGAAAAACTCAAGATAATTGTTTGGTGCGAATTAGAAAATAAATAGATTATAAGTTGCTCAAACTAGTGTTATAACACAGATTCATTAAATGTTGAAATCTTCTGTAACTCAGAAAGTATAGTCATTAAACTAGGTGAGAAAACATCGATTGACATACCACTGTGAATAGGATGATAATGTTGTTGTGTTGTGGCTGTCGTAATTGTTCCTTGCAGGAAAAAGCGTCAATTGATGATATAGTTTCGTACGTTAAAAGGCGAACTCTGCCTGGTTTCTACAAGTTTAATTGACATTTTTCTGATGCGGTAGAAAAACTATTTTTTCACGGCATTAATATATTAATAAGTACCATCTTTCACCATGATACAAAACCTTATAAAATATTTATTGGCCTGGTGTTTAGACTCTGTAACTTTTAGCTTGTTTTACCAATTTAACAATTTCTGTAAAAAGGTACGAGAAACAATATAAATGGACGGCCACAAAACCTGCTAAAAGAGAGAGTAATAACTTGCAGAATACTTAAAATATACTTTCTCTACACCATAAATTGTTGGCAAATGGCCACCTAWAAATGGAATATAGTTTTTCTAGAGTGTGAACCGATTATTTTAAAATTGTATTCTTTTCGATCGAACGTAATCCGTCCTTTTAGTTTATAGCTTTGTGTCTGCAACAAGAGGCAGTTCGTTTTCATTTGTCTCTATTTTTCATGTGCGTTCATATAATACATTAAAAAGGTTTTACAAGAAAAATATTCGCCATAGTTGTTGAACGTCGAGTTAACAGGTTTAAAAGTGTTTTATACGCCGACCTTTGAGAAACCAACTAGAAAATAGTTGTAGTTAATAGGATGCATGTCTTGTTTATATAGGCCGACATTGAAGGCCGTGCACAACACCATTCTCAGTTTAAACATTTCAATCGAAAAACAGATTACAGACTAGATAATTATTTCCCGGATTTTGGATTTTCTTCGAATCATTAAGAAACAAGGTATGAAGATACTTTAATTCAGTTATATTTTTATACAAATCTCTTCCATTCAAATAGACCAAATAGAGTTGATCAATCGTTTGAGGTTTCGATTCAAGCCGCACCGAAACACAAAAAATTCCTAACGAAATTGAAAACTTTTAGAGTTTCGCCGTAATAGAACAAAATCGATAATATGTAAAGTATTCATATTAATATTTCTTCTGTCTTTGTTTTGACTGTTAACAATGGAGGCAAAATTGCTTACCCAAATTTAGTATTTTACTAATAAGTATACAAATAAGTAACTTAGTAATAAGTCGTAAGTGGACAAAAACACAAGGTCGAATAGTGTTGATTGGCTCAGTGGAATAATAATTTAAATTTGTTCAAAAGTTTAGTCAAGGAATTTTCCACACCACTTCCTATAAATCAAAATTGTATGACGTTTTATTTTCGATTATCAAAAACGGCAAGAAAACCAATAGAGTATAGTTAAAATTGCTAGCTTCGCAATTTTGACAAATAATGATAATAATTATTATAATAAATAACAGAAAATCAATATCGTAAAAATTCATGTTCACAAACTAGTCACCGGACTCCCAGAGTACGACTCGGGTTGAAGTCCTTGGAACAAAAATATTATGAGACCGACATCTAAACTGCATTCATTTGGAGTATCAGGGTATGGATAATATTCAGAGCTTATTTTACTTCACAGTACATGATAACCATTCAGCAATCAATATCACCCGGACGAAGATTAGACAAAAGTCGCTTCTGTGATTTTTTAAGCGGATGCACCTTAAGGGCCCTTAGTTTTTGACTGTTTCAAAGATATATTATCAGAAGACACAAAGAATGGAATTAGCGTCTTTTACATGTTAAAAACCATTTCACAGTCCAGTGATGTCCTAGATCATGTAATTATTACAACAAGTAGCCTCGTGTTAAGGGAGTTTTCTTCCTGGAGTGCCTCTTACTGGAAATACGTTTGAGTTATATGACATATGTGGCTCGATTTATTCACTAGAATCTAATGAATTTTATAGAACATTTTGTGTGCAGAGTTCCAGATGATCAATGGCTAGCCCTGGGCCAAGCCCAAAAAGACACAAGAGTCAGTCTGAAACCAACGAGAGACGCTTTTGCATTGAGACACTACTTCATCTGTTGTATGGAAAAAAGACTATTGAGCCAGTTGATTTGACAAAACTGAAGAAGTCGACAAGCTGTAAGTAGTTATGATTTCCTAGTTGTCCATGAACACGTTTTACGCCTCAACGAATCATACTTTGAACTATGACAGAAGGGCTGTCCACCAAACATAACTTTTACTATAACTCTTACAGTTGTTTAATTTAATATAAACGGGTTTCTCTGTCTTTTGCCGTATTCCGTGAGCCAATTGAACAGCAGTTTTGAACGGCCCACGTGGCTGCAGTGGAACTTCTGTACTACAGGGATTACTTGTTACGCTGAACTGTATCGCGTGCTTCGCTTGATTTTGCACGAATAAAGCTGTGTTTGTAGTAGCTATGTTTTAATCCATACATGGCAGTCTAACTACGATTCATTGCATAAAGATTCCTTGTCGGCGTCAGTAAAATTCTATTTGGCGCTTTTAAAGGATCGATTGATTGTGTGGAACTGATATACATTGTGATATTAGCTGTTGTATATGTCACGTGAATAAAGAGAATACTATGAAAGTCAGCGTGTTGATAATTGCTTCTCAGTGCACCAAAATWTCAACATCAAGTAAAAGACACTTGAAACGAAATAAAAGCTTTATCAAAAGTGGACTTCGTGTTCACGTCTAGTGTRATTATTGAGGACCAARTGTTGCATTTTGCTTACTAAGTAGTCATACAGTGTATAGGTAGAATTCAGTTAGGACCGTTAGTTCTATTGTGTTGTATTTACAGTGCACCCCTTTTTATAGGACAATAATGCAACTGAAAGATAAAGATACATCAGGCTTCTTATTAATCCTTATTGAACGAAAATATATCGATGTGACGCACTTGAATGATTTGCTGTTATCTACTTTTAGTAGTACCGGTAGTTTACGGCGATAGTTTTAATTCTCTAAGGCAGAGTGTAAGACTACCTCTGAAGTAACACTCAGACATGAGTTTTCAGTTTAGATAACGAGCAGTCTCATAACTGGGCTTTATTGCCTCCGAGAATTGAAAAAAATAATCGGCAAAACCAGTGGCTCTGAAATATCGAGAGATGCATCCATGCATCAAGTGTTTGTTTGACGAGATCAGTGTCACAAATAATGATACAAATAGTTTAGAACAACCATGACTACGTAGGTTAAATGGATGAAATTTCCACAAAGGAGCATAAACTATGAAAATAAGTTGTCCGAGGATGAATCCGTACACTTAATCTATTTGTTTTAATTATAGATTATCACGTGGATAGACATGAAAACGGCCATCTATCCCATGATCCCTCGACTAAGCAAGAGGATCAAAGTTTTTCATACGCCATTAAATCATTTCCACCGGAAGTGCAGCTTTGTACATCATCCATTCCTGGCGCACGTTATGGAGTCTGCGCAAAGAGGACTATTCCTGAGGGGACCTGGATCGGACCGTACGAAGGCAAACGAGTGAAACCCGAGGACCTTTCGCAAAATCTCGATAACTCATATATTTGGGAGGTATAGCGATTTTTAAGCGCAGCTTTATTTTTTTTCATTTTTTYAAAAATTGAGTTTTGTTAAATTTTAAACAGGTCTATGAAAACGGACAGACATCGTGCTATATTGATGGAAGTGATGAAAGTACTTCCAGYTGGATGAGATATATTCGCTGCGCACGCAGTAAGACTGAACAGAACTTGTATGCCTTCCAGTACCTTGATAATGTGTTTTATCGATCATTCAAAGAAATCTCTCCTGGTACAGAGATGTTGGTATGGTACGATGATAAGTATCCTCAGTTTATGGGTATTCCCATGGGTCTGCAGGAAATCGAATTTGTCAATGCCAATGGTAAGTATTAACTTCAGTTGTGTAGCAATCACAATCTAATTGTCTAAAATGGTGGGAACTAGCGGTAAACTAGTGTGAGCTGCGTCGGTGTTTCTAAAGAAACAGTTATGTAAAAAGATAAATTTAACACCGTAAAAAATCTAATTGTCTTGCTTTTTTAAGACATTGGACAGAACAGGAGATTATCCTCCAGAGAACAAGGCAACGAACCTTTTCAAAAGGTATTATTGATAGTGTTATTGTYATATGGTTTCGTCTACCACTAGATGGAATACAGTCATGAGATAGATATAGATCAATACTTTGACAATCTTTAATAATAAACAATTGAATTGCTAAGGTCAATACATCAGCATATCGTACGTATCATCGATACCTCTATAGCGTGCTGTATCAGCCGGTATGATGTGGAAACCACAAACTCTTGTTGTTTCTGTAGAATCAAGATCTATCTATACCCCAACGTAACCTTCGAGATCAAAGCGTTCCTCCAAGTCAGCGGTTAACTGCATCAAGTCATGCGTCACATGTAAGSGAAGCATCAAGAACAACACAACATATTTCTACTGTCACCACCTCACAAGACAACTATATTCACTCAACGGTGCCCGCTAGTGCTTATGGGAAATCTCAAAGCCATGTCCCAGTAAACATATCGGCAGGAATTCCTTCGCAAGCTATTACAGGAAGAGCATCTGGAAGAGCACATTCTGGCATCACTGGAGTTCATAATCCAGTTGTCAAAGTACAGACTCTTGAAGAAGGGACAATACATTTYGAAAGGGGAGAGGTGCCTTCTCCCCCTGACAGAGACAACGTGACGTCATCGAGCATGTCAGTGAATACAGGTATGTTGTAACCATGATAACCATAAACAATATGATAATGATAATAATAGTTATAATTATCATGTTAGAATGGATGTCACGTGAAAGCGATAAACTTTACCCACAAGCGCCTGCGAGCGTTTATTCACGTCCATCCTATCATCCAAGTGACCTAAGCAATCAGCCAGGTA